TGCCAAGGGGAAAATACTCAGAATGCCATCTTCTTAATTGGAAACAGATATTCTTATGCTATTGAATTAAGATTGGTTTCTTTTGTAAAGCTCAATAGAGCCTTTGATTTCTTAATTCAGTTCATGAGGTACAAGTATCTCTGTTCCAACAGAGCAGTAACAATCTTTGGTGTAAAACTTCTGGGCATTATTAAGGGACTCTATTTGATTGTGATGAGACATACCGTGCCACAAATATTCAGTGAAATTTTTACAACTACATAAAGTTTTCTCTCACTGTTTTAAGATATGCTGAAGATTGTCGGTTACCTGATGTGATATTGAGTTTATTTTCAGATAAATACAAATTAACTGACCTGAATATGGATTGAACTTCACATTGTTTCGGTTCCACTCCTTTTTTCTGCTCTGTGTGGAGCAGGTCTTTCATAGCTGAGCTGTATCTGTAGCCAGGGCATGAGGGACATTCCACTGTTACATAAATCTGCCTTTTGTGATTAATTTGCCAAATGCTGAACCATGAGGCTTGTCCCATAAAGCAAACCACATTTAAAATAAGAGATGCAAACATGGCACCAGTGCAGTTTAACAAAAAGCAACATTCTGCTTTCCCCTTAAGCTGTAACTTATTTATTTTATGTTGTCAGCAACATTACCAGGATACAACTTCTCTATTTTGTTTCATCATTAAATTAAACAATGTTTTCTCAAGAATTTGTTGTATTTTTCTATCCAGGTGCCAGGCAATGCAAATAGGTAAAATGGGATCATGGTAATAAGATTTCTGTTGCTTGTGAAGGATGAAAACAAGAAGCATTTCTTAAAGGGTGGGGGGTGAGGGTGGCAGGGGCAATGGATCACATAGGGATGTGGGCTCATCGATTTTGGGAACACTACACACCCAGCAAGCAGCCCAATTCTCTCTCACAAGTATAGATTTCTGTACTACAGTAGTTGTGCAGCTGCTGTACAAAGCCATCAGCTTCTCAAACGCTTTTCTAAGTGCACACTGGCCCTGGCCACCCACATCACTCGAGAGCCTCTGTTAAAAAAAACCTTGGGCATTACTACTTTGCCACAACTCCCAAAACAGTCTAGCACAACATATCCAAAATACCAAAGCATCCTCAGTAGCTGTGGTACCTAAGGACTGAAGAGATCCTCCCTTGTTAGGCTCTGCTTCCATTATGCAGCAAGACCTACAGCTGGAGGCAGGGGCATCTGTGTGTGTGTGTCAGAAAAGTCAAGATAGCAGGCATGACGGCATGAACAAAGTCTGCCCCTTTTTTAACACTTGCACGTGTGATGGAGCAAGGCTGCCGTTTTGGCTTTTGGACATCTTCCCCCTACTATGGACAATTCTGAACTGGTGGCTAAATCTATTTCTACTTTGATAAAGGCAATAAAAGATTGCAAGTGGCCAATATATGGAATTTTGCATGAACGGAGTGCAGTGCAACCTTTCTGATAAGCACAATGTCCACCTAATTCAGCCCCTTGCTGTGTGTTCCTGATTTTGAGCCTGCATTCCCATTAAGCTGTGTAAATGAGAGAAAGCCCGTATTGAAATCCCACATTTAATAGAGAATTTAGTCTATTGGTGCAATGTGACAGATCTGGCCTGGTAACCATGGGGACTGTATTTGCCCTTTTCTCTAAGCGCTTCAATTAAATAGCTTTACAGATCAATCTGGCTTGCCAGGTCATCCATTATGATCATAAGTAAATGCTGAAAAGTTTGCCCTTTTCCTATGAGGCATGTTTTATAAACTGGCTACCTTGTCTTTTGTTTGCTGAAGTCTCAGACTGCAGTCCAATTTATATTATCTTCAATAGGGGCCATTAAATGAAAAGTTTTTTTAAAAGAGCTATTCTGCATCTGCTAGACAGGAGAAGACCTGAATCTGTATCCTTGGAACATGTTATCAGACAAAACTGCTGGATTTGGTTACATCAAAGAAGGCAGCATCTAGTTATATACTACTACTATGAAAACAAAGAATCAAAGGCTGCTGAAGCAAAATCAACTACGTCATTTGAAAAAGAAAAACCATGTCACAGATTGGCTTGACATATTAGGCACTGCTCCCTAATCTTAAATCATGCCACCTTTATTATTCAGAAAATGAACTGGAAGAAAAACATTAGCCACACCCTTGGCATTAAACTTGTAAATACAGTTTGTGTGTGTGTGTGATCTGTGTATGTGATGTTAAAGAAATGGGCAGCAACATTTCTCATATGGATCCTCCTCTGAATATCCTACACGGGACAGGCTTTATCCAATAAATACCATCAGACTCTCTTCATACAGAAAACAAGCATGTCAGAAACATTAGGCAAAAACCTTCTCCCTGACACCCTGTGAAGAGTTGGAATTGAACATAGAACAGCTAGGAGATGCCATTCCTCCCTCCCAGAATGCTATAATCCTGGGCCTGCGTGACAATGATGGTGATGTTCTCTTTAGATTATTTCTGATGCAATTTCACATATTTTTGGTACTCTGGCCAGGGATAATTTTGGATTGCGGGAATGCATCAGCTACCTATTGAAGAGTTTGGGTTTACTTGTTATGGAGTACCAAGTTCTAAATAAGGGATAGAGAATCTGCAGCACTTCAGACAAATTTGGAGTGCTGTCTTTGATGACTGAGGTTGGTGGAAGAAGGAATCCAATGGTGTTGCGAGCCACATCTTTCACTCTGTTTAAGGGGAACAGGAGAATGATTTTACATTAGAGGAATGGAAAATGGAGATCTTGGGGAAAACCACTTAGCTTCAAATTCCTGCTTCTTAACCCTTCCCACAGAGGTGCCTATTGCCCTGTAACTAGGCTGCTAATATATAATCTAGCCAGTGGTGACTTGAGGGGAATCAAAGAAGGCAAGATGGCAATAACAACAACACAATTGAAGTCCTACCCCTTTCATACTTGTGCACTTACAAAGGGAGAGTGCTTGGATTGCAATTTCACAACCATCATTTTGCTTTTTTTAACCCACCCCTGTAGATGCTGCTGAATCTTGCCAATATTAGCATTGCTCTAACCCCCATAACAATTTGTCAACAAGTGCAGATTCTCTCAGAGGTACAGGACATTTCAGAACAAATTTGCCACTCACACAGAACCATGTCTTTTCCTAGTGGCATCTTTTATCTCCCTTGCTAAAGAAAAGCTAATGGTGCTCAAGAAAATGCAGCAAAAGCTTAGTCTAAAAATGGAGGCCTCCGTTGCTCTCTTTGATGGTTCTACAATGTTTTCGGAAGCCGTTACAGGCAATGATGTAGTAATGCGCTGCAGCTGCTGGCAACAATCATCCCTGTTAATAAGCTGGAGGTAAAGGATTTCAGCTAAGCACAACATTTCTGCAGGGAAAGGAAGGTTAGTTTGACATCCCTGAAGAAATGACTTTGAAGCAATCTGCTAAGGTAGGCAGGTAGGTAGGTAGGTGCTTTTCTTCACAAACATTGAGCTCATCATTTTTTCTCATTTGAAAATGATCCTGAGGTTAACACTAGGGGCAGTTTCAGAGCCTCTCGGTTTTAGAGGAATTTTCTTGAAAGACGGAAGGCCAGAGGTTTGGGTATTTTCCACAAGTTGGGCCAGATGCCTGCTTTGACAACTTCAGATACCAATGTCTGGCTTGAGACGGTCTGTTGCGAAAAGCAGCTCCAGAATGTTAAGTGGTGTCAGGAGAGTTGTAGAGAGAACAATTACCTGGAAAGCAAGAGATATATACACAGATGGTTAGGATGACCAACTTTTGCCACTCCATCAGTGACGGCAACCCTCAGTGACAAAGAGTTGTGCTTCTATGAGCAAGTACAGCTTAACTAAAAGGGTTATGCCCTCAGCATACAATTTATAGGTAAACTTTCTACTGAGGGAAGCATTTCAACCATCAGCATTGCATGGTTGCCCTGTAGTTCACTAAGTTAGTGGTAGGGGATTGATATTTATTATTTTTTTAATGGATTGACCTTACAGTTATTCCCTGTCATGTGCTCAGTGGATGGCAGCCGATGTTGGCCTTTTCCTATTTGGATGGAAGCCAATGTTGCTTGTCTAAAGTGCGTTCAGTGTTGTAGAATCTGAATCAGAAAATTAGCTTTGGGATTTTCTATGCCATCCTTGCTACTGGCACGCAAAGGAAATTCCAGGGGAGTTTTTGCCAATTTGATGTTCTCCTAATGTGCTGACATGAATACACACAGGAGGATGAAAGGTGATGCAAGTGAAGTCATGTGTGCCATAACATCAGTGCTGGCATGACAAAAATTATGTAATTTGCATCAGTTGCAACTGTAGAGAATATAGAGGATGGCCTTGATGGAAAGAGAGAAGATCTGTTACCAAGGCAATGAACAAATAAACAGGGCTTAAGCCGATGCGAAGATAGAGATTTACAAAAATGCCTAAGACAGCTGCCCCCTAAGAGAGGAAGGGAAACACATTCAGACTTGCAAGATTTTGTTACTATAGCCATTCCAATAAAAGTTGTTTTAGGCTTACAGTGTCTGTTTCTTGTTTTGGTCTACTTTGTAGGGCTGTCAGTGACTGAGAGGGACCATCACGGCTTATACCAGAAAGATACCTATGTATGTTGAGACTAGACATCTCTGAACCTTCATTCAGAGATACTAACACTGCAGTACGGACTTCTGGTGGTCTTGGACAGCTATTGCTTCTCTTCAGCTCAATCCCGGTCCATTATTTAGGCAATTCACTGCCGAGAAAGAGAGGCCATTGCATTCTCCCATCCAGACCCTCTGGGAGGAAAATCTATCACAGGCTGATCTTTGCATTAGGGTTTCTGCCTTGACAAGTGTTATCAAGAAATATTTTATATGGAGCTCAAATACTCATGATCAAGATTTTGTTT